AATTGGGTTGAGGTCGGGTGATTGAGATCATCTGATGCAGCACTCCATCACTCTCCTTGGTCAAATAGCCCTTACACAGCCTAGAGGTGTGTTTTGGGTCATTGTCCTGTTGAAAAACAAATGATAGTCCGACAAAGCGCAAACCAGATGGGGTGGCGTATCGCTGCAGAATGCTGTGGTAGCCATGCTGGTTAAATATGCCTTGAATTCTAAATAAATCACAGACAGTGTCACCAGCAAAGCACCCCCACACCATCACACCTCCTCCTCCATGCTTCATGGTGGGAACCACGCATGCGGAGATCATCCATTCACCTACTCTGCGTCTCACAAAGACACAGCGATTGGAACCACAAATCTCAAATTTGGTCTCATCAGACCAAAGGACAGATTTCCACCGGTCTAATGTTCTTTGCTCATGTTTCTTGGCCCAAGCAAGTCTCTTCTTATTATTGCTGTCCTTTAGTAGTGGTTTCTTTGCAGCAATTCGACCATGAAGGCCTGATCCACACAGTCTCCTCTGAACAGTTGATGTTGAGATGTGTCTGTTACTTGAACTCTGTGAAGCATTTATTTGGGCTGCAATCTGAGGTGCAGTTAACTCGAATGAATTCATCCTCTACAGCAGAGGTAACTCTGGGTCTTCCTTTCCTGTGGCGGTCCTCATGAGATCCAGTTTCATCATAGTGCTTGATGGTTTTTGTGACTGCACTTGAAGAAACTTTAAAGTTATTGAAATATTCCGTATTGACTGACCTTAATGTCTTAAAGTAATGTTGGACTGTCGTTTCTTTTTGCTTATTTGAGCTGTTCTTGACAAAATATGGACTTGTTTTTTTACCAATTAGGGCTATCTTCTGTATACCACCCCTACCTTGTCACAACACAAGTGATTGGCTCAAACGCATTAAGAAGGAAAGAAATTCCACTAATTAACTTTTAATAAGGCACACCTGTTAATTGAAATGTATTCCAGGTGACTACCTCATGAAGCTGGTTGAGAGAATGTCAAGAGTGTGCAAAACTGTCATCAAGGCAAAGGGTGGCTACTTTGAAGAATCTCAAATAGAAAATATATTTTGAATTGTTTAACACTTTCTTTGGTTACTACATGATTCCATATGTGTTATTTCATAATTTTGATGTCTTCACTATTATTATTAAACCCTGGAATGAGTAGGTGTGTCCACATTTTTTATTGGTACTGTATTTCAATTTAATCAATTACAAATTACATGGACTAGATTTTTTTAAATTACCAAACCCTCCCCTTGACTGAAATGTAAAAAGCATGACCCTCCCCCATTTTCCTCATTCTAACTATTCTATAAATTTCGATCCATCCCAACACAAACAAATTTAATGGGGTAAAATGTTGCTTTTTTTTAAAGAATCAGTTCCATCCCATTATTTACTGTGCGATCCAATTTGAGCTGTTAGAGAAGATGGTTGAAAACAAACTTGTTCTGCCGTCAGCGGCTCTTATGGAACAGACAGTACATTTCCGTCATACATTTTATTGTTTATCAATGTTGTGACTTATAACACAACGTGCCATTGGAACACAGGACTGATAGTTGCTGATAATGGGCCTCTGTACGCCTATGTAGATATTCCATTAAAAATCAGCAGTTTCCAGCTACAATAGCCATTTACAACATTAACATTGTCTACACTGTATTTCTGATCAATTTGATGTTGTTTTATTGGACAAAAAAATTGTTTTTCTTTCGAAAACAAAGACATTTCTAAGTGACCCCAAACTTTTGAACGGTAGTGTATGTTCCTGCCCTGAACCATAAGATATTCCCCAGCTATGAATATCAAGTGGCACACCAGTTGACAGCCCTCATGAATGTATTGCATTTGATTAAATCAACACAATGGTCCATGCAGTATTTCTATTTGTCCAGGCAGGGAGTTGGCTGGCTCAAGAGGAGAGGAGGAGACGACCTGTTCCCAGTGGCTTCTGTTTTGGCACTGCCCTACTGTTGTGTTATCACCAGTTAATGGGAAATATGGTTATTCTCAGAGAGAGAGAGAGAGAGAGAGAGAGAGAGAGAGATGGAGAGAGAGAGATGGAGATCAAGTCGTACTGTTCTACTCATTGAGACAGAGAATGTTTTGACACAGGTCTCTGGTTCTCTCACAACCTCTGACAGGAGTGGGTATACAGCTCATGTTCCATATTTACACAGTTATAGTTATGGAATTCATGTTTTCCTTCACCCCGTCCATACAGCAGCTTTGGCAGGATGTTGCTGATGTTCCACTGATTGTGGTCCTGCAACAAGGTGTTTCCCTTCCCTTCCGCCTTCCTAGTTTTCTGGCTTTCTGGCTTCCTGCACAGCTGAGGGTTTAGGTCAGCTGGCCCACCACACAAACACTAATTATATGCATGTATGTATGCATGCATGTGTCTTCACATCCCAGGTAGCACATAATGTTCTGAGAACCATGTTTCTTAGAGCTTGTTGATGTCACGCCCTGGCTCGGGGGACTCTCGTATGTTGAGCCAGGGTGTTAGTTTCTATGTTTTGTGTTGTAGGTTGTGGGTCTAGTTTTGCTTTTCTATGTTGGCCAGGGTGGCTCCCAATCAGAGACAGCTGTAGCTCGTTGTCTCTGATTGGGAGTCATACTTAGGTAGCCGTTTGGCACTCATTCATTTGTGGTTTCTTGTTCTTATTTGGTTTGTGTTCAACCGTAGACATCACGTTTTCGTCTGTTGTTTTGATCGTGTGATCATTCTCTAAATAAATATGTTCACCTTCAACGCTGCGCATTGGTCCTCCTCCTTAGACGATCGTGACAGTTGAGAGTTTGGTTGTCCTATGGTTATACAACCTTCCCACAACATTCTGGGAATTGTGCAGGATTCCCAGCAAGCACATAACGTTCTGAGAAGCATATGTTTCTGAGGTGGGATTTTCAGTACTTCAGCATAACGTTTCCTACATGTTTCCTCATGGTTCTATTTAAAGTGATGTTCTCAAATTCTTCAGAGGACATTAAGAAACAACATTCTTCTGTGGGAATTTCAGTACTTCAACAGAACGTTTTCTGCAGCTTTCCTCATGGTTCTATTTTAAGTCATGTTCTCAGAACATTAAGAAAACTTTCTATAAAAAAACAAGAAAACATTAGTTTTCATTAGTAACAATGTTCTAAGAATATTATTTAAAAACAGATACATTCCATTTTCAGCATCAACAAAACTATCTCTATCCTATATCTTGTTAAGTGTGTTCAGGTGTTTTGGCCAGGCCCACTAATTGGCCACACCTGATCTTAACAAGTGCTTGTTTCCTTTGAAATGGGGTCTGTTTAAATATACTAAAATGAACAGCTTCATATGAGTAAAAAAATACATGGCATACTAGCTCCATCCTGGTGGCGCAGTGGAGAAATTCCATGGATAGAGAACAGAAGATCATAGGTTCAAATCGCACTGACACAATAAAACATAAATGTGTTTTCATGATTAAGGCCTTAGAAAATTAATTTCCATGTGTCTTATCTGTGCTTGGAGTTCAAAACAGTTAACCTAAGCTTGCAGTGTTATTAAAAGTCTTATTGAAACATGTTCTCAGAACGTTAGTTAATTATCTTCAAATAATCTATCATTTCCGTTCTCAGAACGTTAATAAAACCTCCCAGGAAAACTTTCAGGGAACAATAGTAAAACGTTCTCAGAACCTCACTGAAACCTAAAAATGAATGTTCCCAGAACAGGCGAAATGTTCACTTCTGTTCTCAGAACGTTTAAAAAAGTTATGGCTTCGTTCCCAGCACCAATGGGAAACCAAAAACGTACATTCCCACAACTTCCAAGGAACCAAATGTGCTAACTGGGATGTGTCTATGTGACTTGTCTGTGTTTTCAAAATGTATTTATCTGTTAATTTGGGGTATAAGGCTGCTTTGTCAAATCTGCAAATAAGTGACTTAATTTTGTTACATGCACAATTTTTATTATGACTGATGTTGTCATTTTGTTAAAGTAGTTACACCACTGATAAGACTTTGACACCTCCATTGGTGTGTACAGGACTATATCCATCATACTCCTCACTGACACAGGAGAATACATTCTTTACATTTCAAGAGACTGAAGAGTGTCTCCAACTTCTCATGTTACTGAGTGCTCTTTGGCCTTCCAAGGGATTAGGTGGAGGAATGGTTAGGTCAAAGTCGTCATGGTCATTGAATGCTAGAGGCGTGTCGAAGAAAATTGTTTGCCCTCTCTCTGCATTGCTCAGGTATTTGCTTTTCCCCATTAGTCTTCAAGGGTCTCCATAACCATTAACCAGCCTGTTGCATTGTTGCAAACTTATCACATTCCTCAGGCCTCGTTCTAGATAAAGTTTACACAATGCTCCGCCTTTTTACGTCAAGTGGAAACCTTAACACTACATGGTGGTATCACACTGTAAATCTATAAAACTATTTTTGAATGAGGTTGTTTGTTATATTGTTTGTTATATTTCTGACTGACTGTAGATATGTGCATCAGATGTATGTCAGAGTCTGTGTAGTTCAGAACAGGTGACTGTACGCTATGTCATCCAGGGGCCACTCTGAAGCTTTGATTGTGCTTAGTAGACGGATGATTGACAATGCCTCAAGAGCCTGCCTGAAGAGATTGATGTTGGCCCAACCTGGCTTTTGTGGTCAGAGAAGGTTATCTCTCCGCAGACAGAACAGATATTGACTCTAACAGTCAGAGTTGGAGTCAGTACCAGATACCAAGACTTGGACCAGGCTCTCACCATGTCATACCCAAAACCATGTCATACCCCAAATCATGAGTGTGGTATGATCTATGATCTCATGAAACCTGGTATTAAGACATTACAAAGATTACTGCTTCGTGGCTTCCTTGTACGTACTACAACAAAATTGCTATGTCATGAAATGCTATCTGGTCGATCATTGCTTAATTTTGTAGGAATCTGTTCTGTGATGTTCTGCGACGTTCTGCATCCTTTGATCTGAACTGGATGGATGTTAGGTGGCTCTAGTTCATGGTGCATGGATCATGGCTCTGGCTTTTGCCCATTATGGAAAAGAGACATAGCAATGAAACATTGAGTTAAATAGGGGATATAATCAAAAGCCTATTTTGGAGGATATTTTTTATCAGGTTTTACGGTCCAGACGAAAACATAATGAGGGCTTTGGAGTTAAATAGCTCAGAACAAAATTATAAAGTGATCATGTCTGATGAGTAAGACGATGAGTAACTATTTAATAGAATCAGAATCGGAATGCTGAGCAAATTGAGTGACTACGTGTTCTGCTCATTGACTGCCTTAATGGAAGACCACCAACCATAGGATATGTTTTTTTCTAAAGCTATTTAAGATAATCAAATGAAAAAAAAAAAAAACGTAAGCGTTTAGTGTACCTCCGATTACGACTATGTAGCAGCAGTATTTTAGATGGAAATGTATTTTGGGGGGAATTACATAAAATGTAATGTTTCCTGAAAGTTAGATTGGTTACCCTGCATTTAGAAAGGGCTGATTTATATACAGATGTAGTTCTTACTGCATAAAATACTAGGTTTATCCATAATTGCACACCATAACATTTTGCGTTACATTACATGCTGTTCAAGGGTTATTCAATTATACCCATTGATGTCTGACAAATATATAATTTAGCAAAACTGTGTTACAATATCATAACCCTGTTGACTATTCAAACATTTACCAACTTCTTCCATTTTGTATTCATCTCTTTCCTAGGGCGAAAGACAACGACGACAAAGAAACTGTGCCAGGAAAAGAGATCCAGGTGTCTGTGTGTGATGAGGAGAAGGTGGTGTGTGGTGTGACCAAACACACAACATGTGCTGACATAGTCCAAGCCTTACTGGAAGACCACAAGATCACCCCCGAGAGCAAGAGGCTCCTGCACGGCGACCCCAAATACTTCTGCCTGCTAGAGCGTTGGAAAGGCTTTGAGAGGGCTCTGCCTCCCTTAACCCGCATCCTCAGGCTATGGAATGCCTGCGGAGACCAGAGACTGTTAATCCAGTTCACCCTGGTCAAGGCCAGCGATTTTGTCCCCCAATCAGGAGCCAAGGGGGCCAAATCCCTCAAGGGGGCCAAGGGGACTAAGAGATGGGAGCAGGGCCCGGCCCAGTACTCCCAGTCGATGCCGATGGAGAGGCAGAAACGTATGGTGAAGAAGGCCTTCAGGAAGCTGGAGAAGATCCATAAGGAGAAGAGGGTAATGGAATTTTCTCCGGGCAGTGACGAGATCGACAGGATGGTTCATCTCCTTATACAACAGGACCACACCATCCGGCAGCAGACCCAGAAGATGCGAGAGCTGGACAGTGAGATGGAGTGCTTACACATGGAGCTGAAGGTGGGTCAGGGGCAGGAGACAGAGCTTCTCCATGAGGGCTCTCCCTCACTCTCCCCGGTCTCCTTCCCCCACAACCAGAGCATGGACAGCAAGCCGGGGGTCTCCGAGGAGGAGCTGCTGCAGGAGTGCCTGTACAACAGTGACGGGGTGGCCCAGTTGGAGATGCAGGTGCAGAGGCATCAGGAGCTTATTGCCCAGCTGTCCCAGGACTTCGATGCAGAGCTGACGAGGGCCATGTTAGCATTACCGGAGGTCCCCAAAGAGGATACTCAGTTACAGGGGGCAATGGCAGAGTCTGGGGTCACTTCCGACCCATACCTGTCCTGGGAATCGGCAGAACTAGAGAGACTGCATGCCGAACTGAGGCTAAGCCTTTGCACCGGCGCGTCCCTTCACACCCAAACGGCCGATCTGCAGAAGGCGCTAAAGCACTATGACACAACACTTGCCTCCAAGGACCAGGAGTGCTGGCAGCTGGCCTCCCAGCTGAGCACATTGCAGGTTGGGGAAAGTGCACAGGAAATGCCAAGGCTTGGGACTATGAAAGGCCAGGCCCGGTACATTGCTCCACCGGCAGTTAGATTCAAACACAACCTGTCCCCTACAGATGTTACAGACACAGACTCTGACACAGGGATCAGCTCCACACACAGTCAGGACTCTCTGTCTCCCTGCCTGGACATGATCCTGCCACCGTTGGACACAGCTGTCTAAGACGTAGAACTCCCTCTCTGGATTAACCCCAGAAGTTCAATAAACGATTATTGGCGGCACAGCATAATCATAATGGTCTGACTGCACAGAGGTGGCGGGGCAGAAGGGTCTCCATGGGGGACCGGTGTGTGTGTGTGTGTGTGTGTGTGTGTGTGTGTGTGTGTTGGGGAGAAGGGGGGTATCTGAGCTCCATCAACCAGGAATAGACATAGGCACTCCATCACTCTCCTTCTCGGTAAAATAGCCCTTACACCCAGTTTCATCATGGCGCTTGATGGGTTTTGCGACTGCACTTGAAGAAACTTTCAAAGTTTTGACACTTTCCATATTGACTGACCTTCAAGTCTTAAAGTAATGATGGACTGTCGTTTTTCTTTGCTTATTTGAGCTGTTCTTGCCATAATATGGACTTGGTCTTTTACCAAATAGGGCTATCTTCTGTATACCCCCTCTACCTTGTCACAACACAACTGATTGGCTCAAACGCATTAAGAAGGAAATAAATTCCACAAATTAACTTTTAAGAAGGCACACCTGTTAATTGAAATGCATTCTAGGTGACTACCTAATGAAGCTGGTTGAGAGAATGCCAAGAGTGTGCAAAGCTGTCATCAAGGCACATATTTTGATTTGTTTAACACTTTTTGAGTTACTACATGATTCCACATGTGTTATTTCACAGTTTTGATGTTTTCACTATTATTCTACAATGTAGAAAATAGTAAAAATAAAGAAAAACCCTTGAATAAGTAGGTGTTCTAAAACTTTTGACCTGATATCTGTGAGCCTAAATGTTGATTTTCTACTGCCGGTCCTTGTTAAAGATAACATTCCCTCGTAGGAAGTGCCTACATTATTACACATGTTATTTGTAAATTGTGAGAAGGAATTAATGTATGCAGATAAAAATGAAATAATTATATCCAGTACAACTGAGGCGAAAGGGTTAAAAATGCTTATGGCTGCTAACCTTTTTTTGTTCTGTAAGTGGCAGTTTGTGCTTATTTCAAGGAATATACTATTTGATGATACAAAGTTATGGCTCATAAATCTATATGGACCGAATAATGATGATTCAAACTTCATTGAAAATGTGTTACAGCCTGAATTCAAAATGGATTTTTTTAAAATTCTCACCCATCTACACATAGTACCCCATATTGAAATGTTTGTAAATGTGTTGAAAATGAAACGCAGAAATATCTCATTTACATAAGTATTTACACCCCTGAGTCAATACATGTTAGAATCACCTTTGGCAGCGCTTACAGCTGTGAGTCTTTCTGGGTAAGTCTCGAAGAGTTTTGCACACCAGGATTGTGCAATATTTGCCCATTATTTGTTTCAAAATTCTTCAAGTTCTGTCAAATTGGTTGTTGATCATTGCTAGACAACCATTTTCAAGTCTTGCCATAGATTGTCAAGCAGATTTAAGTCAAAACTGTAACTCGACCACTCAGGAACATTCACTGTCTTCTTGGTAAGCAACTCTAGTGTATATTTGGCCTTGTGTTTTAGGTTATGGTCCTGCTGAAAGTTGAATTCATCCCCCAGTGTCTGGTGGAAAGCAGACTGAACCAGGTATTCCTCTAGTGTAGAAAATCCTTCTTCTAGTCAGGGCTAGTTAATTTTTTTGAGGTGCAAGGCCTGCTAGAGGGGGGATGGGCTGCCCTCTGCCCTAAGAACATGTTTCCCCAGTGACCTCTCATTGGAAATCTTGACCTGTCCGTCACCACCTTTGACCCAGCCCATCTGGCCCCAGGCCAATCAGCAAGTGGGGCTGGAACAACTATAAAAGTTAAGTTCCACCCTTACTGGTCCTTAGTGCAGAGTTCTTCCAAGAGTGATGTGGATACTTTCAGTCAAGTGGATTACACTGTACCTGAAGAGTACACGCGGGAATGCAAACTCTGGACACTTTTTCTTAACATGGTCTGGTGCTACTGCGTCAATGCAAAAAATAATAACTATTACTACTACTATCAATATCACTTCCACTTCCACTATTATCAACCCTAGTACTAGAATTCAATGTCGTGTGTGTGCTTGTGACAATAAATAAGTGAATAGAGTATGTCTCCTGCTGCGTCATTGTCCCTCTGACCGGGGATCCAGGGAAATTGTCTCTAGTGTTCACCGACCAACAGGTGGTGCTCTTTTCATCAAGGATTTTGCTATTGCTTAGCTCCATTCCGTTAATTTTTTATCCTGAAAAATTCCCCAGTCCTTAACGATTACAAGCATACCCATAACATAATGCAGCCAACACTATGCTTGAAAATATGGAGAGTGGTACTCAGTAATGTTTTGTATTGGATTTGCCCCATACATAACACATTGTATTCAGGACAACAAGTGAATTGCTTTGCCACATCTTTTGCAGTATTACTTTAGTGCCTTGTTGCAAACAGAACACATGTTTTGGAATATTTTTCTTCTGTACAGGCTTCCTTCTTTTCACTCTGTCAATTAGGTTAGTATTGTGGAGTAACTAAAATGTTGTTGATCCATCCTCAGTTTTCTCATATCACAGCCATTAAAGTCTGTAACTGTTTTAAAGTCACTATTGGCCTCATGGTGAAATCCCTGAACGGTTTCCTTCCTCTCCGGCAACTGAGTTAGGAAGAACGCCTGTATCTTTGTAGTGACTGGGTGTATTGATACACCATCCAAAGTGTCATTCATATTTTTCACCATGCTCAAAGTGATATTAAATGTCTGCTTTTTAAAATATTTTTACCCATCTACCAATAGGTGCCCTTCTTTGCGAGGCATTGGAAAACCTTCCTGATCTTTGAGGTTGAATCTGTGTTTAAAATTCACTGCTCAACTGAGGGACCTTACAGATAATTGTATGTGTGGGGTTAAAGACTATTATTGCACACAGAGTGAGTCAATGCTCTTATTATCTTACTTCTTAAGCACATTTTTACTCCTGAATTTATTTAGGCTTGCCATAACAATGGGGTTGAATACTTATTGACTCAAGACATTTCAGCTTTTCATTTTTTATTAATTTGTAAAAATGTAGAAAAACATAATTCCACTTTAACATTTCAATTTAATCCATTTTAAATTTATGCTGTAACACAGCAAAATGTGGAAGAAGTCAAGGGGTGTGAATACTTTCTGAACAATCAAATTAGTCTCCACGATATAAATAACTCTATAATAATGGTAGGGGACTACAACACCATGTTAAGTACGTCAATAGACCGTAAAGGCAATTATACTGCCAACTATCATCCTCTGAATCTTTCTAGCACAATACAGGTTCAGTGGACCTACTTATCTTATGGGATGCCTTTAAGTGTGCCTTTAGAGACCATTCAATTCAACTTTCTTCCCAAAAACAAAAACGGTATACTGTCCATCGGTGGCTCATTTTTGGAGTCAGGTCCAGGAATGGTTGTTATGTCATAATATGTGGTCCTCTGTAGCTCAATTGGTAGAGCATGGTGCTTGTAACGCCAGGGTAGTGGGTTCGATCCCCGGGACCACCCATACGTAAAAATGTACGCACACATGACTGTAAGTCGCTTTGGATAAAAGCGCCTGCTAAATGGCATATTATTATTATTATTAATATCAGGGTTCAGATGGGCCTGCAAACTGTATTTTTAGGGGATCTGAAAAACCACAATCAGTCAATGGGAAATATCATTATACTCTTGGGTAAAGTATTCATTTTAGGGCAATACTGGTAGAAATGTTACAAATAGGGAGGTTCAGGACCTTCGTAAAACATCACAGTAAAATGGAGGGATGTATGGCAAAAGGAAATAGCAGAATGGCATTATACTGGGTTAATCTGTGGAAATCGGAGGGTTGGAGTTAAGATCACAATGAATGGTGGATTGGCTGCTGTGGGTGAAAATCCAGCACTTCCAGAAAGAGGAAATTAGGAATATATGTATAATTATTTAACTACATGTACCGTACATGTGAGTGAAAATAGCTGTAAGCAGCAGTAGAAGTATTGTTTTCTGTTAGTTTACTCCAATCAGGGTAGGGATGGTAGGATTGAGGGAAAAAATATATATATATTTTTTAATAAAAGGGATTAGAACAATTAAATTGATAGAACCCACAATTTATCTGCAATATTAAAGCTGATCTACCCCCCCTTATTAATGAATGATTCAGATATATGCACTATTAGCCTGGCACACTAATTTGTACTGTATTAATCAGTGAGTTACACAGACACATTTGTCACTGCAATTTATTTAATGATAAGTTCATTTTGAGTACTTTTGAGGTGACATGTAACGTCACAATGTCTTGCAATGTCAGCCTGCCTCACTCACGGGAAACTCGCAGGCCCTGTCTTCTGGTGAAAACGTTGGTTTAGGTCAGTAAGATAAAGTATTAGTACTTTAACAAAAATACTTAAAAATTGTTGTTTTATATTAAAACATGCAGCAGATCCTTGTAGATATACAACTTTACCACTCTGCCTTTATTGTACAGCGTAATCTTTTCATATTTTCTTTATAAGCTATGGTATGATATATTGTAACGTCACACATACAGATTCATAGAAATAAAAAAAGAACAAGGATATCAAGGCCATTTGAAAGTAAAATATAGATTTTGTTTTCTGGTTTTAAAACATTATCCTAGTTGCTACTGTAATCTATGTTTATTGACAAGACATTCCAAAGCATATGAAGACAAACTATATATCAATCAATCGGTGTGCCATTGAGTGCACTCTATTATTAATATGAAATTAAGGCCATTTAAGCTGTAAAAAAAAATTAAAAACATTGTACATTGTCTTTACTGCAAACAATAAAGGATTTCTATACAATGTTCAACATTTCTCTGAAACGAGTGTTTCTAAGACTGTTCAACAGAAGTGCATAACGTTTCCTAAGCAACGGGTGCTTCATAAGATTGTACAAGGAAATGTTCATCTGGAAAACAGACCAAAACATGGCTGATAAAACCAATTATGTTTACAAACTCTGGATTGCTGATGCTATGTAATGGCC